GCAGCTTGTGCATTTTAGAAAGGAAATAAATACTATGGGTTAAACTTTTCATGGTACGATTCCATTGACATTACTGGAGTCACATACATTTGCACACTCCAAGAATTCAGTTGTTGGTTGTTTTTTTTTTTTGTTGGTTGTTTTTTTTTTTTTTTTTAAAAAAAAAAAAAAAAACTGCTTATAAATCCTGTGTGCTCTGTTGCAGTTGTATGATGTCCCTCCCAAAAGAGAAACCGATGCTTCAGGGAAGGGATCTCAGAAAAAGTGCTGGGGCCACTACAATACGTTGCCAAACCCTCGAAAGTCAGAATGGATTTACGATATTCCAGTATCACCTGAAAAAATGGGATTAGAACACAGCCCTTCTGGCCCTTCCTTGGAGAACCAGGTGCTATACGATATACCCCCAGCCAGGTACAAGGCGCCAACAAGTACTGAAGCCAAAGGTGTGAATCCACAATTATACGATATTCCACCAACACAACGGAAATTAGTGTTTCCAGATGCCCCTCTTTATGATATTCCACCCCCAAGGGACATGCTCCTTTTGCCACAAAATGGTAGCTGTGAGGCACCCCCAAGTCACCTGGATCCAAAGGCAGAGAACCAGACTTCTGAAGAGAACGTTTATGATATTCCTAAAGGTTTGCCCAACACTTTGCAGTCCAATAAAGAGAGGGAAAAACCCAACAACAGTTCTGGAAACAAGGCATACCGTGTTCCAGTCCAGATCTCAAGAGACACCAAACTAGAACATGAGAGATCATCTGTTCCTAGTGCGGACAGCAGAAGCAGCACTGTCTCTAAGTTCTCAAACTCTTCTGCTGAGTTTATGTCATCATCAGAAGAGCCTGTCAAAGAAATTAAACTGGATCTTGATGTAGCCATAGAGACACTGACTAGACTGCAGCATGGTGTATCCAGCTCAGTTGCTAGCTTAATGATTTTTGTGAGCAGTAAGTGGAGATTACAAGAACACCTGGAGAAAAACATTGAAGAAATTCATAGGGCAGTTGATCACATAAAAGTATCACTCAGAGAATTCTTGGCCTTTGCTCGAGGCATAAAGGTAAATGCCTCCTACATCACTGATAATAATCTTCAGACCAGAATTAAAAAACAGCTGGAAATTCTTATCAACTCATTCAAAATCTTAACAGAAACAAGAGAAGCTCTAAACAACTGCAACTGGTCACTGGAGGCTTTGGTCCTCAGGAAGCCTCAAAACAGCCCAGATGATCTTGATCGCTTTGTTATGGTAGCTCGCACAATTCCAGATGATATCAAGCGATTTGTATCCATCATCATTGCCAATGGAAAACTTCTCTTCAGAAAGAGTGAGAAGGAGCAAGAAATGAAGCAATCAAATGTGAACCCAGAATATAAAATGGCAAAACAAATCCCAGTGCCAAGAAGAATAGAAATAGAATCGCTTCAAAGAAATGCTCACGACAAGCTGAGCCAAAGTCAGGTCTCCCAACAGAAAACAAAAGACGATGATATTGAGGACTGTGAATATGTTCAACTACAGGTTAGTATGATAGGATTTTACACATATTCTTGATTGTTTATAGGCATTAATTCATTAGCACTATTTTATCTTTGCATCAGAGCAAACTTCAGTTTGCACAACTACTTTTCGATGGCACAGGTGCAGTGACCAATAATTTTAAGTAATGAAGAGAACTGGCATTAGGGAATTTGCCCACATAGCAAGACAACAGTGAGAGAAGATTTTTAGCTTGTCTGTTTAAATTAATTTGAGAGACTTAAAAATATATATATATATATATATATTTAGCTAGGAGTTCACAGTTTTTTTCTTCTCTTTAGACTAGTGGTTGCTTTCTTGCCTGTACATTTCATTTGTTGGCTCTGAAATCATTATACGAGAAATCACAGATGCTGACTTTCTAACTTGAAATGTATTAGGCTTTTGTAGAAAATTTTGACTTACCAAACTAAACTCTGAATTATCAAGCTTCTTAGAATAAAAATGGTCATTTGTTAGAATTATTTTTCTTATAATTACTGAAATGCCTGCTAAGAATCTTCCTCTTTATTGGTTTTACAAAGAAATGCTGACTTGTCCTTGGAATATAGGAAATGTTTTGTTTTGTTGAAGCTGATTTCAGTCTTAGACCTTGCAGGATCCTGACACTAATATTTTAGTAGAAAAAACTGCAGTTGGTTCCAATACATTTATCATTGTAGTCCATAACATGAAGCAAACAGATTTCATGTTACTTCTCCTGAAGTAAGTGGAAAAACATATTTATACTCGCATATTTTATGCAAACCATTTCAATTTTGCTTTCACTTTGATTTTTAACAGGCACAGAAAATCATTTCAGGTAAAGAAGTGTCAAAGAAGAGTACAGATTCAAAACCAAAGGTATTTCTGTCTTTGAAAACTATTACATAAAAGGACTTGTAGTTCTTTATTTCTGTGCTTGCTAAAATTCAAAATAATTTGTGCTTGGAAGCACATATCTATACATAAAGATCTATTTGTTTTCTCATAGTTCATTTTCCCATAACTAGTTCTTCAAATAAGTGCTGAAAAACTATGCAAAATATTTTCCTCAAATATAATGAACTAAAGTCATACTCTTCTTTATCTGTTTGCCTGTGCACATCATTTGGGATAAGGCTGTGAATAGTTGTATTTCAAAATATCTTGTAATGCACTGTTATACAGACTGATTCCCATTATAGTACATTTTTAATTATTCATAACCCTCATGAAGACAGTACCATTAAAAATCAAGTCTGTGTTTTGCCCAAGAGCTTGAAGTCCAGACTCTACAAAGGATTGATATTTAACTACAGTACTTCGTGTGCCATCCATTACTAAAATTGCATTCAGTGAAATCTGTTTAGGGAACAGGTAATTGGGAAAAAACAGCATTATGAAGCACAGTACTTTGTAGAAAGAAAAATTATTCCAAAAATATTCTGGGCTGGGGATGGGGCAATTTGGAGCCTGTTAACTAAAAGAACTTGTACGTGAAGAAACATGCAAATAATACAGAGTAGAACAAATAAAGAAACAACCAGTGTGACCCCAAACTGACTCTAATTACTTTTTTTATCCCTTTTCTAGGTCTTGCCATCTTCAAAAAAGAATGTAATTCAAAGCAAGCAAGAGCCTGCAAAGAAAATAGCTCTTCCAGAACATTGTAGGCTGTGTTTTAGTGCGCTTCAAAAGGCAATTGCTGTATTTAATAATAGTCTGAGCAATAACCAGCCACCTGAAGTCTTTATATCCCACAGCAAATTGATCATCATGGTGGGTCAGAAGATAGTGGATTCTCTCTGCCAGGAAACTCAAGAAAGAGATGCTCGGAATGACATTCTCCACAGCAGCAGCCGGTTTTGCAGCCTCTTGAAGAACCTGGCTCTTGCCACCAAAAACGCTGCAATACAATATCCAAATGCAGACGCAATGAAGGAACTTCAGAATCAAAATGATGAGCTGTATAAATATACACAGCAGTTTAGAGCAATGATGGAATGAAAGATGCTTCATGATTTTATTTTTTATTTTTTAGAACAGTGGTGAAAACTTGAATCTCTTCATTATTAGAGTTCTCTTTGCTCCCTTTGTGTAGGAACCAAGGGGGGGTGCAAGAAACTCAGTGCTGCCAACTTTGTCATCCCCAAGTATTCCTACCAGGTTGTCCTCTCTCCGGTACTGATGCTCATTTAGCAGGTGAAGACCCACACAATAGCAGAGACAGAGAGGATTTGTAGTATTGAATCTGTACTTTCTCCTCCGCTGTTCAGACACTGTCTAGAAGTGTTATCTTACTGTTGGGGCAGAGATGTTTGCTGTGTATTCGAGCAAATTTTATTATCTGATTTTTATTTTTTATTTTTTTTTCTATACAGATAAATATATTTTCCTACTTTTTTTGTTTTTCTGTTTGGGTATGTAAAGTCTGTCTTTAAATTTAAACGCGCTGTTGTGTAAGTTGTCATATTGCTATGTGTACCCATCATCGTTTCTAGAGCACTTGACTCAGACCTTGTAATTAGGGGTGGAAAAAAGTATCCGAAGAATTAGCTTTGCAGCTGTTTAATGTAAAAATGTGTGTTACAGGATGAGATCTGTATGGTATAGATATTAATCAGAAATGTTCCAGCGGGCTGTCTGAGCACTGAGAGAAAACTGGGGGCTCTGCAGTGCCGGGTACAGACACAAGGAGCTGTTCCTGGTGCTTTGCCTCGGAACACGGTGGTTTCAGTCAGTAAATATGGAGCGAGGTGGTTTCAGCCGGTAAATACCGAGGCTTTGGACGAGCACCTCCAGCACACGGGCGATGCTGATGGTGTTTGGGTCGCGCTGTGGGCGCACACCTCTCACTTGGGCAGAGCTGGTGTGGCGCCTCAGCGCTGCGCCGTGCTGTGCGCCCGGGAACTGCCCCTGCCGCTTCTGTGCCCGGCTCCTTTTTATTTTTCCTGATTAATTTATTGTGAAGTTCTATCTGAAATGTGAAAGCCGGGCCTTTCAGGTCTATCTGCACCTTTGCCCTGACGTCGGTTCAAGCCCTGCGCGTTTGCAGCTGCCTCCAGCGCCCACTCGAGGCCGCGGGGCACAGGAAGCCCCTCACGGCACCGCCCCCGCCCCGCAGCGCCGCCATTTTGCGGGGCTCTGCCCCCCTCAGCGCGGGAAGCGTCGTCTCAGCACCGGGGGGGGGAGTGTTACGGGTTGGGAAACGCCTCCTGTGGCCGTAAATCCTCCGGAGCGGGCGTTCTGCCTGAATTTGCTCACTAATTAATTAAATAAAAGAATAAATAAATAGAAAAATAAAGTTGCTGCGTCGCTAAGGGGGGGGAGTGAAGGCAACCGCGGTCGGGGCGCCCCCCCGCTGGGCGCTGTGGTAGCTTCCGACGGCCTCCAGATGGGCTCTCCCGGGTGGCCCCGCCCCCTCTGGGTAGCCACGCCCCCTCTCCAGAAACCACGCCCCCAAGCGACCGGTGGCTGCCGCGCCCCTCTCCGCGCACGCCGGAAGTGTTTCCTGCCGCCGGAAACGCGTCACGTGTGGGGAGAACGGAGAAGAACCCGGAAGCGCGGCGGGGCGATGGGGTGCGATGGCGGCACCATCCCCAAGCGGCACGAGCTGGTCAAGGGGCCCCCCAAGGCCCAGAAGGTCTGGGCGGGGCGGGGAGGGCTCGAGGAGGGCCCCGGGGGGCGTTCGGAGCGGCTCGGGGTCTGCCTCGGGCTCTGCCTCGGGCTCTGCCTCGGGGAGCCGCAGGGTGCAGGGCGTGCGGGGGGGGCGGAGGCGGGGGGAGGGGCACGGGAAAGGGCGGAAAAATAAACAAGTAAATGGGAAATAAGTAAATAAAAACGCTTCCCTTCCGTCTCCAGTGTGGTCATACTGCTCTGTGTGCCGGTCAAAGTCGCTTTGAATATCAGCCTGCCTTTTATGGCCGAATGTGCCACAAAACCCGCGTTTTAAAGTGAGATTCTTGAGGGTTTTTTTTAAGCTGACGTCCTCTGATACGGTTGTTGGTTTTCCCCTCGTTATAGGAATGGCCCCGGTAGTTAGCTCGAGCTGGTGAAGTGGGAGGGGTGAGATCCAGGATTAGGGAGCAAAGGGCTGTGGGTAAGATGTGGAGAGATAATGACAGTGCTGAGGGCAGCGGTTAAGCGCAGGTGACAAAACGGAAGAAAACAGACTTAAAAAGTAGCTGCCGAGGTGCAGAAATGAGCTCAGTAGCTAAAAACTAATTATGAACTTTCACCACAAGTTTTTTGTTATTTTATGGGATAATTTTAAATGTAAAGGTGCATGCGCCTTTGGTAAGGTGCATGGGGATTTGATAAATATTTCAAGTGTTGTTTGAATTGATATTTAAACAATTTGCTTATAGAAAAGCTACTTTAAAATCATGGGTATGTTTTCATTCAGGTTGACAAAACTGCTGAATTGGTGGCAAGGTGGTACTACTGCACTCTGAGTCAAGAAAAGCTTTGTCGACCGATTGTAGCCTGTGAGCTAGGCAGGTACGACTTTCTATGCAGATTTCTATATTGAAAGGTACTAATTTGTAAATAAAATAATATTATGAGCATCAAATGTGATTGCTTGAAAATTTTATGTTATAGGTTGTATAACAAAGATGCTGTCATTGAGTTTTTATTGGACAAGTCAGCTGATAAAACACCTGTGGAAGCTGCATCACATATCAAGAGCATTAAGGTAAAAAGGTTGTGTTTAATGCCAAAGCGTGCCACAAAATTTAAAATGTGCTGCAAAAATTCAGTTGGCTTGTCTTCTCACTGTATGTTAAAATCATTAAAAATAGCAATCCTCCATGAAAAACATCTCTGGATGTGTTACCGTGGCTCAAAATTCAGTTGTAAAAAGCCTGAGGCTTATGTTTGTATTTTATTTTATTTTATTTATCTTTCAGAACGTAACAGAACTAAACCTTGCAGATAATCCGGCTTGGAGTGGCGATAAAGAAAGCAAGAAAGGTGACACATATGATGACATCCAGTCTGCACGCTTTATATGCCCTGTGGTGGGACTGGAAATGAATGGAAGGCATAGGTCAGTATTTTAGTTACTGCTTGTAGATTATAAAAGTGAGTACTATGTTAAATTTGTAGCGGGTTAAAAGTTTTAAATCAGTAGTGTTGCAACTCATGTACGCGCTTGAGCCTTTGTGGGGACCACATGTCCTTCATTCATCCCATGTTTAAGAGTAAAGATGAAATGTTACCTGTTTCCTAAATCAAATTATGTCTATAATAAAGGAGTAGAGAGCGATGTTTGCAGCGAAAAAGTGACTTAAAGTTGTCTGGGGCTAAACCATAGGAGATTGACGTGGGCAAGTAGAAGAAGGTCAACTGAGATCTCCTTTTGCAGTGGGATAAATTGCAACAAGGAATTCTACTTTGCCCTGTGCTAGGATAAGAATGAAGGGGAGGTGTATGTCTATTAAAATCCTGTGCTAGCATCTATTTTTTATGTTGCTGAAGAAGGATTTTCCTTTGCATCCTGGTTTGGGCAAATTACAAATTTCTTTTTCTGTACATATTAAACCTGATAGATGAGAGAGGTTTGGTTCACAGCTTGATAGTTTCAAAGTATTTCTTCGTTCAGTGAACGATTAGCCAGTATTTTTCCATCACTACTTACATTAGGTACATATTAATTCGCACATCCAAAATGTGCAGATACCTTGTTTAGCTGCAAACACGTATAAAGAGAAAGTTAGCTGTGTCCTACCAGCTGTTTGCAGTATTTGTTTTGTGTTAATTTGGCACTGCAGGTACATGCTTCAGACGCACAGGGTTTTTTAAAAGTGATCTTACGCCTTTTTTTTTAAAGGTTTTGCTTCTTGAGGAAGTGTGGCTGTGTGTTCTCGGAACGTGCTCTCAAAGAGATTAAAACAGAAGTTTGTCACAAGGTGAGTTTTTCCTTCAACTTCAGTAGCAATGGGTTTACACGTAACCCACAGAGATAGATGTAGATATATATGAACAATTATGTTCACATCCGCTATTGTAAGGCGGCTTTTTAATCAGAATATGCACATTGAAATGTGTATAAGTTCTGTTTTATGGTGGCCTGAAATACTTTTTTTTTTTTTAAATTAAGTCTCTACGTAGTTGTCAAAATGAATGTTTTTGCTCTCAAAGACAGTTTGGTGTTGCAATAATTACTTTCAAAACGTCATTTTTCAAATGGTTGGTTATAGTTTGTTTAAAAGAAGGTGATTTCTTTGTCTGCTTTGTATTTATCAGTGTCTGCTATATTTGCTTAAAATGATTACATTTCCAAATTACGTTTTGATCCCTGTATTTTGAAGGGCCATTGTCTTTTTTTGGAGGCAAAAAAAAAAAAATCAGATTTTCAGCAATTTCATGGATTGTTGTTGAAAATACTGGCCGCGTTTCATTTTCACAATAGTGGTGTGATCTCCTTATGAAGGTCTCTTTGGAGATGAAGGCAATGATACATGTTGCAAATGCTCTCATTTTCATATCACTACTTTTATTTGCGTTTGATTTGTGGTGACACTTGCCACAGTTATTTTTCACCAAATACCCTGATATTTGATAAGCTGTACCGTGTACTTACAATAAACAAGATCTGTGAACCAAATACTTTCTCAGTACGGTGTTGTATGTGATGTGTAATAGAATTAATTAGCTTTAGCCTCATTTTGCTGCATTCAGTGTTAATTTTGTTCTATAGAATGCTGCTATAGCCCTTTAGATAATGGCTCTGCTTTCCTGTTGCCAGATGCTGCTTTATTTTTAATGTGTTTTTTCTCTTTAAGTTTGTTGTTGATAGATGGATGTAATGGGATTAGTAGATGCAGAAACCGGATGTTTTTTCTATGGTTTGGCCAGCCTAGTAATCTTATAAAAACTAAATTAGTCCCACATGTTTTATGTAATTTTATTAATAATTAGGAAGTATTTATCATAATTTCATTATTTGTGTGCAAGTGTTTTTACATGTATGTGACTTCACTATATACAGAAGGATGCTTCTGGAAATAATGAAGTGAATATAATATAGCTTAGTCTGTCTTCCTTTCGTTACTGGATTTTTATTCACCAAGGCAATGATAACCAGCCATGAGGATGTTTTAGTCTTCCCTTTGATTAAGAGTGATTCAGTAGATTTTTAGATACACGATGGTAATGCTCTCATTCTGTGCTCGGAATCAGGAAGAGGGACTGTAACATTTATTAAAAGGATCATGAGGAACTGATTGCCATGCTTTCTGGTGGCTAACAGTTTTAGTATCCACTAGCCCTAATTAGCTGCATTGACCCAGCACACTTTGTTTTTATATTGCAATATAGTAAAATGAGATGAAAGTAATGAAAAAGAAAAAAAAATAATGAAGTGTTGTGTGTTGTACGTATGCTGTTTTCATTTCATCCCAGGGGATGAGATTTCTAATATGGATGCGAACTGGGGAAGTGTCAGTCTAGATGTTTAGCAGCTCTTTTCTCCACTACTGTGAAATTCAAGAAAGCTCTTTCAAAACAAACTATTCTTGTGTGTTAGTCTCACCTATGAGCCTAGAGAGCAATCTTGATGGTCTGCTAATTTGTAAACAACAGTTCCCCAGAGGACTCTACCAAACAGATGCATTAATGATGCAGTAAAAACATTCGCCAAAGAATACAGGTATCTGACATCCTGAATGGTAATTCTGCAGTCCTCACCTTCATACTCATTTGCTTTAAACTAGATAAACTGAATTAGATAATTAACATATTTACATGCTATAAAGATGCTTATCACAAAATGCTGTGCTGAAGGATTTGGGACAAATTTTGAAGATTTTAACTATTTAGGCTGAAAAAGGTTAAAAAAAAAAATAGTAACTTGTGAATGCAAATAACTTGTAGTACCTTTTTACAGAGACATATTTTGTCTGGGCCGTATTTTTGAGGTTTTGTAGAACAAGTTGAGAAAACTTAAACTGTCAGTAGGAAGTTGTAGGCTCAAATGTGCAGGATATGACTCCCAGTAGGCAGGAAGGGAAACAGCTTTGTTTAAGATACTGGAGTTTGCTGGTGATGAGTATTCTGTAGGAGGAAGTCCTGAATAATAGCAGTTTTCTGCTGCCTCCTTCCTGCCTGCAGTTCTTCAGGAAGGATTTTATGTGATGTAAAAAATATAAATTTAAAATATACACTTCTAAATTGGAACTATCCACCTACTGTTGGTTTTAATTCTTTGTCAGAGCACTAAAATTAAAAGACCAAGCCATATAGTTTCCAATCACTATGTTTGTATTTGATGGTTTCTTGAGCAAGACCAGTACCAGTGTGTACGTTTTGTTGAGGCTAAATGTAATTGAATGATTAGGATAAAGAGCAGCAGTGAGAAGGAGCTTTCATATCACTCAGTGTTGAAAATTCCACGGGTCTGGCATAACCAAAGGGATGACCAGCTTCAGAGTTTCATGAAGCTCCCCCTGTATGAAGGGGGCAGGAAGCAGAGGAGAAGCACAAATGCCTTATTATAATATTTCCTGTACTTTGTATAATTAATTTCTGGCTGATGATCATCCTACAAACCTGTTTCTTAACCAGCTTTTTGAAGTGTAATCTCTTGCATGTCTTTACAGTTTCTTTTGGAGGTGATTCCAGGTTTAACAGATTTCAATGCACACTTGAAATAATGCCTTAACTATTAAAGCTTATGCCATATAGAACACTTAATCAAATGTTTAACTTAGATACAGGGCTATTGATCATGTGCCATAGGCTTTTTAAAGCAGAAATTCTGCATACATCTTTCAGACACAGAGTTAAGGTGTGTGCAGTATGTTATGCACTGTAGTGTTTCCTAGAACACGGTGACATTGACAATTTATGCTCTTAGATCAACAGTTTCCAAAAGTTAGTAAACATTGGTTGCTGAGATCCAAGAGTAGTGATCTATCTACTTGTTTCACAGTAGCACATACAGGACTTTAATGAATGCTTCTCTATGCATGTTGAATGCTTTCAGCTTTCACAATTTTATAACTTACTCTTTTAATTGTTGTTAGAATTTAAAAAATTTCAACAATTTAATGAAGTTGTGATCACTCAGTAATGGGTAAAATAATATTTTGATTATTATTTTTTATTATTAATATTTTGATTATTGATTATTCCTCTGGATGTAGGAATAGAAGGCATTTTGAGCAAGTTTGCTGATGACACCAAACTTGGAGGAGTTGTGGACTCGAATGAGGGTGGAAAGGCCTTGCAGAGGGATCTGGATAGGTTGGAGAGCTGGGCGATCGCCAACCGCATGAAGTTCAATAAGAGCAAGTGCCGGGTCCTGCACCTGGGACGGGGAAACCCTGGCTGCACGTACAGACTGGGCGATGAGACGCTGGAGAGCAGCCTAGAAGAGAGGGATCTGGGGGTCGTGGTAGACAACAAGTTGAATATGAGCCGGCAGTGTGCCCTGGCAGCCAGGAGGGCCAACCGTGTCCTGGGGTGCATCAAGCACGGCATCGCTAGTAGGTCAAGGGAGGTGATTGTCCCGCTCTACTCTGCGCTGGTGCGGCCTCACCTCGAGTACTGTGTGCAGTTCTGGGCACCACAGTATAAAAAGGACATGAAACTGTTGGAGAGTGTCCAGAGGAGGGCTACGAAGATGGTGAAAGGCCTGGAGGGGAAGACGTACGAGGAACGGCTGAGGGCACTGGGCCTGTTCAGCCTGGAGAAGAGGAGGCTAAGGGGAGACCTCATCGCAGTCTACAACTTCCTCGTAAGGGGGTGTCGAGAGGCAGGAGACCTTTTCTCCATTAACACCAGCGACAGGACCCGCGGGAATTGAGTTAAGCTGAGGCAGGGGAAGTTTAGGCTGGACATCAGGAAGGGGTTCTTCACAGAGAGAGTGGTTGCACACTGGAACAGGCTCCCCAGGGAAGTGGTCACTGCACCGAGCCTGACTGAATTTAAGAAGAGATTGGACTGTGCACTTAGTCACATGGTCTGAACTTGGGTAGACCTGTGCGGTGTCAAGAGTTGGACTTGATGATCCTTAAGGGTCCCTTCCAACTCAGGATATTCTATGATTTCTCAGTAATTGAGAATGGGGTGGCTTGTTTAAGATTTTGCCTAGGGTTTTTATAGGTGTAGAATTTTGTGTTTAAAATATTAATTTCTTTAAGAAAGGAGGGTCACTCCTCAATGCTTTTCCTAGATTAACATGGCTAAATAGGACATAAATTATATTTCTAAGAGGGATTTAGAGATCTATATTTTTTTCTTAGTTTTCCCGGTCAGTTGCTGCAAACCAAGCCAGTTTAACTAAGTGCCTTGCTATTGAATTTCACCTTTTCAGTCAACTCAGAGGTGAAACACAGTTGTTCTGTATGATGGTGATGAAAGGTAAAAAACCTAGGTGCTGGATTGTCTCTAAAGACAATAATGAGGAACGTTGCATCCATGTTTTAAAAAGCAACACAGAGTAGATAAACACTGGGAGTGCCTTACAGTGGATTGGGTGTGGTTTGGAGAGAAATTCAGTCTGAATATTGTTATGGTTATTACGTGCCCAGGACCCATTAGCTTCAGTAATGGCTTTCAGAAGGACTCAAAATGCCCGGCGTGAACATGGTGCATGGCTTTTTCCTTCCCATTCATAAAAAAAAAAAAAAAAAAAAAAAAAAAAAAATCATCAACAATTAGCCACAAGATAGGCCATGGGTTCTACATGAGACTGAGTACAGGGTTGAGCTTTTTAAGTTTCTGTAAATAAATATAGACCAGATGGTCCTCCTCTAGGTTAAAGTTCACTTGAAAGAAATTGTTTCCAAGAAACTTGTGTGGGAAAAGGAGCACTACAGTTCCAAGAACCTAGGAGAATGTTTGTAATAAGAAAATTTTGTGTTCTATTGTTGGGTCATTTCTTGATTCATTTGAATTTTCGGAAGAATGTGCAGTCTTTAAGTTAGTTTTCCTGGTGCTGAGTTCAAAAATCTACTTCCTTGCTGTAGGCTAGTGAGAACTACGCTTGGTCTGCAAAGGATCTGGAAAATAAGATCTTTGTCCTAGATGGTGCTAGATGTTAACGCCACTTGTCGCAGACTGTTGCAAGATTCAGGGAAGTTTTGTTTCCCTACCCTGGGACTGAAAGCTCTTCACTCCTTTTTTTTCCATTGTTCCCTGGCCTCAAATTTCCTATGAGCTCCTGCAGAGAATCAGAACCAGGGACTTAGAGGTAAACATGCATTTCAGGACCCCTGCTAATGTTACTGCTACAGACACCCTGGTCATTAGGAGCAAAGCATGAATAGTGCAAGAGTGGTGTTGCCATGCTACACAATGAAATTAGAGATGCAGATGGCCATGAAAAAACAGTGAAATGGACTGTGTCTGAAGCTGGCTGGCACCTGCTTCTCTACAAGCTCTGCAGTTTATGTCAACTTTGTTAATCAAAGTGATGTAGTTCATAAAACATACAGCAGACACAACTTGTGTTCTTCATATTTCACCTTTGTTCAGGCATACTTCCATTTTATTACTTTCATACAATTTTTTTCAGCTAAAGACACATGGGGAACATGTATTTTCCAGTTGAATAAGTCACTTGAAGGATTATGAATGTCACCCTTGTGTTCTGTAAGTTGCAGATTTAGATATGTCATTTTCTTTAAACTGATCCCTTAGCAGTTGTTGCTCTTTCTTTTACTGTAATATATAAAACTGCTTATTTCACTGGTGAAACAGTAGTACAGCATTAAAGCATGAGGGTAAGCACAAGACACCAAGCGAGTGAAGTCTGTGGCTAAAAATCTTGATGGGTTCTGTCAATATTTTGAGTATTTTTTTAGCTGTTGGTTAACTCAAACGTTCAGCTTCATGTTGAAGTAGCTATCTTCCTGAAAACGCCAGTGATCTTCAATTGGGACTTCTGCCTGGTGCAGTACTTTAAGTCTGTGGCGTCTCTCTAGGCAGTCCATAACAAGGGGATATGTTGCAGGCTCAAATTTGTTCGCAAACAAGTGAGGTGATTCAATAATCCACTGTAAATCCCCCAGTCCATAGACGCAAATGTCTCTGATGTAATGACCTGCAAAGACAAACAGAAGCATCTGAAAGCAGCAGAAAGCTGACCTGAATCACTTGAAAATATTTTGACTCTGTGCTGTTATTAATAAAAATTACCTTTTGAGTTCTCACAGAGCATTGTTGCTCTAAGTTTTAATACTAGATGTTTTTTAACAGTAGATTTTTATTTTTTAATACTAGATTTGAAACTTGATTTTGTATCTCCAACTGCTTCAGTGACACACTGTATCTTATAGTGGGGCATACTGAAGTTTTTGTCATATCCTATTTCTTTTTGGGTGCCTATTTAATCATGCAATGTTTTACTAAGCTGAGTTTTATGGTTTTGTATTTTAAACTTTTGTGTGTGTGTGTGGCCACCACATGAGGAGATTTATCTCCGAGCTGATGTGAGTATCTGACAGTCGTGCTTGTCGAGTAAATCCCTTCACACTTCTCACTGAAAACTGATAAGCCAAGTTAATGCATTGGTAAATGTAATAGAAGAAGGCAATCAAATAAACAAAAGCTTGCAAAACTTAGCCACCGAAATATAAAATAGATGCAATCCTGCCATTGCCCCCCTTCAATTATTGAAGTATTGTAACTGGAGGTTGAAAGAATGGTTGTCAGTATGTGGTTACTGTGACAATCTTTGCAAGAATCTGTCAGAACATATTTAAATTAGATACAGTGGAGGAGGATGGATTGCTCTTTTATTCCACACGTCCAAAATAAAATATACATGGCTAGTGAGGCACATTTAATAGCTAGCTTAACACGTAATATGTAATTTGCAATGAATGCTAGTCAGTGAATCATATTCTAGTTCACGTTTCACATTACCTTTGCAGCCCTTGTGTGCGGTGCCTTCTTGATCTTTCCATTTAATGGCTCGTATGTTTCCTTCCCAGTCTGCGTTTGGTGTAGCACCTGGAGCATCTTTAAAAACACAACATTCTGATAAGATTCCTTTCTACTCATTTCTACTAAGAGGGATAATTTTCACTGCTGAAGACTTTTTAAGTGTAGCCTTGTCAAGTATTTATATGCAGTTACTTAAATCATAAGAAATTTTATTGTTCTCAGTTTCTTTTTTTTTTTTTTTGTGAGAGCATAAGCTTTTATGTAGTTTAAAAAATTACTCTTTTAATCAACACTTTTGTAGCCTTGTAGTGCTAATGGTCTACACCATAAGTAATATTTTCTGGAATCAAGCTTCATTTCGCCATCAGGAGATGGGGTTTGAAGGAACAGCACCAGGACTGAAGAAATCACCATATTTATGCAACACAATTCAAGCAAGGTGGCGTTAAACCCCAAAATGGAGCTCACTAGCTCTCTGTTTCATAGACCCTGCAATATTGGTGCAGGAGTTATCCACAGTAAAAATTGCATAAATCTTACCATTTAAACGATTCAGTGTGACCCAGTAGTGTTCGTCCGGACTGTATGTGTCTCTTGACCATTCAAGCAAGTCTTTTGCACGTGCATCAGTCAGTGTAAACTCCACAAATTCTTTAGTGAGAATGTAATAGGCACTACCAAAATATATAGTCAAATTATACGGAGGTTTAGATTTTATGTTCTTGGTTGGATACACGTATGACATTCCAGAACGCACGTATTCTCTGTAACTAAACTGCGTTCTGTGTTTCATATGAAGTGGTTGGACTACCCCAGGAGTCATATTTTTACCGTTCCATTTACTTTTGATGTATTTGATAATGTCTTTGTTTGTTTTAATGGGATAATCTTGGCCACACAGATTAATAACGTAATTCCACTGAATTTTGGATTGAACTAGATCTCTCATGCAATTAATATCAGCTTGTAATCTTGAAAATCCGGCATAAACAACATTTTCTCTTTTTGAGGAAATAAAAATATTTTCAAAGCAATTAACAATATTTTGTACAGCAGCTTTATAATCCTCTGATGATTTTTCATCGACATGTATGCAGTAAATATTCTGAGGCATATAAATAGCTCTTAGTAGCTTTACAAACATTTCCAACTCCTTGTGAATTGTGATAATGTATGCCAGTGAGAAGCTTCTTTCTTCAGCTGACAGTGGTCTTGTTATAAAGTGTAGAGTCTTCAAGACCGTGGAGCAGTTGCATGGAGTCTGAATGCAGCTGAACGTTTCAGGTCGGTAGGTATTCTGGCAAACGTTTCCAATTTTAAAAGCAGCAGTTTTCCCCATAAAAAGAGCTGAACAAAGTTCATCCGGGTAAAAACCACACTCTGCTGTATTTTCACTAAATTTCTGTTCGTTTGGATCTTCGAGAAGTGTATCCTTTAGGTAGATGAAGGTGTAGATGAACGTACAGACTGCAATGCACACTAAAAATCCTGATTTTGTTGCATCAAGTGGGTTCATCTTTTATTATCCGGAGACTGTCTTCAGATCGTGTGAGGGTCTAGCTCATAAGCGAGAAGTTGATCCTACTTTGAAGCAACGTGTGCTCCAGCAGGTGAGCAGTGCAGTAGGTTGGTCGAGGTCCAGCCCCCCCCCACAGGAACAGTGGGCAAGCTCTGTATGGGACAGCGTGTAATCTCAGCCATTGACGAGATTTCCTTAAGGCCTCGGAAACCTTAGCTTCTGTTGGAGGAACAGAATTTAATTCAGTGAATTAAGTCAGCAAAAAATTTATTAAATAAACAAAAGGGGAAGATGAAAATGCATTCTACAAAATGCGTCATTCCTTATCCTTATAAAGTCAGCAAACGTTTCTTTCTAACTCATTTTGGACCTTCCCCCCCACACACACATCTTAGCATTAGTGCTTTGGAAAACAGCACATGCGAACAACAGTCATCCCTTATTTTTAGCATGTGTGCGTATCCTGAGATAAAGTATGCTCCTGCCTCCATTAGCATTAATAGATAACTGTAATTTACATTGCTGTTGGCATAGGAGTTTTTCCGCTGCCATTTCTTTTTATTACTTACACCTCTCTTACTGAAATGTCCGAAGCATGATAGTGCAGCAGTCCCAAATCCCACAGCTATTATGTGAAGTTGTGTCCTTGAAACATTTGGTACAGAACTACCTAGAGAAAGTTCCAGGGAGGGGAGGAAGAGTCCATCAGCTGTCATTAAGCTTGATAGTTAAGAAATATTTTATGTCTTTTAAAGAAAATTCATATGCTCCTGTACCTTATTCAGTGAATTTGTTTTTAATGCGTTCTGTTATTTTCACCTCTAAGTATTCCATGTTTTGCAGCTATCAGCATCACAGCATATTTGCTATTATGTAAGAACAAGCATAGTTTTGTAGTTTCTTTGTGACCACTGTTGTGGTTAGAAGGATCTAGGTATTAGTTAGAAAATCAGTGGACTTATTAAAATGAAAAACCAGTATATGACAGTCTTAGAAGCTCAAAAATAGAGGTCATTGGAGTCGAAGTTGGAAAGAAACAGAATTTTAAAAGCATTAAAAATACAGGATTTTAAGCAAGAGTACAGATCCCGTAAAACACTAAAACTTTGACATCTATTAGGCTGTTGGGAAGGAATGTATTTATCTTGTTATCCTTACTGGTATGCACTGAATTTCATGCTGAAAGAATGCCTCTTTTGCACTTAGCATTTCAGGAAGTGACTTTGTGTGTTAGGTGGAGGATTCATCCATTTTGTTTCAGTGTTCTGTCAACAGTGCTACTCAGCCTGCATTGAATGCATAGGCCAAAGAAAAACATTAGGAAGTCAGGTCCCAGAAGATTTTTTTTCATTAGCTCCTGAGGGATACATTTACTGTGTAAACAAGCTTGATTGTCTTTCGGCCGTTTGCATGAAAAACTTAAGCAAATCAAGTCCACATCAATCTTTTAGTATTGTGCAGAAGGGAGGAGAACAAGAATGTCATTAAAAGGTAGAAGCAAGAATTTTTCCAGTAAAAATGAAATATGCCAGTGCTGTAGCCTGCTACCAGCTGACTACCAGAGCCAAGAATAGATTTGCGTAAGAGCCATTATGTGCCCAATAGCAGAAGCTAGGGAGAGGGAGTGTTTGTTAGGAAACACTGTTTTTTATGGACCTGGAGCCAGAAAAAATGTTTTATTCTTAGAAAATGATTGGGGGGAGGCATTGAGGTTGCTCTGAATTAGGGAATGTGATGAGATCTCTGTGATCCAGCACGTGGGAAGACCACTCTGCACATAAAAGTTACACTGGAGACATAGAGCAGTTAAAGAAATCTTTGGGACTTCATATTTGCTTAGAAAAGAGAGCATCTGTCTGTATATGACCAGTACATGCTTCATGGTGTTTGGTTGCTTGTTTGGTTGTTTTAATTGAACACGATTTTGTGGATGGGTTGCAAAGGTTAGTTCCCAAGGAAACCAAGCTATAACCCGTTTGTTTTGTACACTTACATTTTTATTACCCATCAAATAATATCTACCAGGGATGTTTCAGCTTGTTAAGTATTTACTCTGAATTCTTCCTATTGAATTACTATAGCAGCATAAATGTACACAAACAATCCGGTGTCACGTAAGAGGAAACAATACCTTTCCTAACAGTAAAAATGTTTCTGGGGGTTGACCAAATGATGAAGCCTTGCCTAAGAGAGCAGAATTTGACGTCACTCAGCCTCAGGATATGTTCACAGAATGCCAGCATTGGCTTTCTGCTAGTGTTTTATAGCAGGTCTAGAGCTGAAACTGTAGCTCTTGGTCCCATTGTGTTGGAAATTTGTGACTGACAAGATTCATCTAACCTCTGTTCTGTTACCTGCTGTCAAGGACTCTGCTACCATATTCACTCCTGCCCTTGAAGAGCAAGGGATCTTTCTGTTAAGATCCACTGTCCAGGCACAACCCAAACTGTCTTGCCTTACGTTAGTTTTATCATGCTAGAGTGCCCCTATAGGTATTTATTGTTATCAAAACATCTCTCTGAAATCCGACCTTACATGGATAGGTTTTCTAAATCTGGAGTATGAAGTTGTCTTAATCTTTAGCAGTGCTTGGCATTCTTCAAAAAAAATAGCACACTGTAGGGATTTTCACGCATCTTTGTGGCTGCTTTTATGGGTATTACCTAACGGAAAATCGTCATCTTAATCCATCTCAATTAAATGTCAACTCTAGAGAAAAATGGAATTATGCTTGTACCTGAAAATAGGCCTGTAAAATATCATCTCAGTTTATAAAAACCCCATTACAACTTGCAGTGTATTTCATAGTTAGTAATGAATTGTTTTATAGTTCGTTGTTCCTTCCTGCCATAAGATTTTGGACTGCATCATTGCATCTCAAATTTTCCTATTCTGTCCGTACTCTTTGTACTGGTTAATATTAATGGTTAGATAAAATTTAGTTTGTATGGCAATAATCCAATGAAACAAATGGTTTAGGAATACTTTGTCTTGTACTAATTAAATGGGCAAAAGGCATTAGCTCCTGTATTTCCAAATCTTTTTATGCCTTTTTTTGTCTGAAAGGTGAAAGATTATTCATGCAGGCCTTAGTGTAGACATTTCATAAGCAAGTGAATACTAATTCAGTCCTCTAAAAGTTTAATGTTAAAATCAGCACTTTCAATGGATTCTACCTTTTTTTCATTAAGGCCAGGTGAGTGTGCTGAGGCTGCCTCTGTGTCACATAAAAGAAAAACTTATTCATATATCCCAGTTAACTGTCTTATAAATCTAAAATCGTTCTCACTTAAACATATTGCATCAGTGTTTGCTGATAAATATAAACAGATTTATGGAGGTGTACCTTCTGATCCTTAATTTTTTCCTATTTTGTTATATTTTTTTCAGATTGTTTGATCTTGTAACAATCTAAAACAAACACTGTGATAGCTATTTAAACTGTTAAGTTATATGGTTGTAAGATACTATTTGGTTGGACCATTATTTATAAATACTTGTTAAATTCTGAGTTTATTGATACAAACAATACGTGCAGCAATGACCTTCTTGTACATCTCTAACAAAATTTAAAGAAAGCCTTACTGCAGATTTGAGTATTTTGTTAAAGTGAAGTGGTCTTTCTGAAATGCAGATATGGCACTTTATAAAAATTACAATATTCTGTGCTTTAATAAAGAAAAAGCAAAAACCCAAAGTCCTAAAATCTAAATTATTTGGTCTTACCTTGCCCAGAATTAGCCAGGAGAAGACAACATAATAAAAATAAATAGTCCCATTGTCCTTCAGCAAAATTCAGACAGCATTCTTCATTCTGTTGCTCATGTGGAAGTCTCAACATAAGTGAAAAGGGGTTAAACATTAACGTGCATGTTTTCATTTAAGGCTTCATCTGGCTTCCCGCAATGCTTAGCATATTTATTCTGCAGTAATGCTGGTTAGCCTCGGAAGAAACGTCCTCTGCTTCTCTATCATGAGAGAAAACTTGAGCTTTTCTAAATTTCTGTTGCCACTGTTCAGACACAGCCTTTAAAGGACTGAAAGCCGGCTTTCAGATCTGTGGAGTACATCGCTGGTGGTTGTGAATTGCATCGCTTTACCACAGGCTCTAACCTCAGTGCTGGGTGATGAGAACTGCAGGGGAAACTCGCCTTTCTCTCCTCCTCCTCCTCCTCCCACTGGTTCTTAACTGTTTGCCTGCTGAAACTTTCCAATTTGCAGCACACAGATATATGAAAGAATTGTACCTGGTCACTTCTAGGGTCTGAAGCTTAAAGCTACTAGATGAGATGTGTTCCTCCTGAGTGGTCACTGCATTACTGCTTTTACTGAGATTTTTTTGGGGGGTGGAGTGTTAACAAGTGGAAAAAAAATAAGTTTACTGGAATTACAAAGCTTTGGGGCTCTAGAAATAAGAAGGCTGGCATATTTTGGATACTTGCAGGTTAAAATAGTGTATTACTCAGAAATAAATAGGGAGAAAACCTGGAAGTAAACTAAGGCACAGCTGCAGGTACAGCAGGTACATCGCCTTTAAGGGCAGCTCTGTGAACAGAGGCTTCAGCGTAGACACTGTTTTTGTAGCAGATGCAACAATTTCTGAGTGAAGTTCATGATCACTGACTTAGTATGAAGGAGGCTTCTTCCACTCTTCCCGAGTTACCTTTTCCCCGTCTCTTTGCCCCATTGCCACTCTCCTCGGCCCCTTGGACAAGTGCCAGGGGTGGTGTTCGGCTGCTCGTGCCCTACTGGCCTCCTAGGAAACGAGCTGCTGGAAAACGCCCTCTCCCACTCCGTGTTTTTAGTTAAAGATTATTGTCTTCTCTAACTGTTAATGCGTCAGCTTACATGGCTGGTAAATGAATACTGATTTGGTCCATGGCTGAGTAGGATGTCTGCTCAGGCTGGTTTCTAAATAGGTCTCAATCCTACCTCAAGAGGGGCGATCAGGATGTGGTGATGTAGCCCCTATGTGGGTGAGAATTTCTTTTGGAAAACTGTTCATGTCCTTTTGCCTTCCTCCTAGGGGTTGTATTTAGGAGGGCTGCAGGATTGAACTTGGTGTTTATAGTTTGGGAAGGGGGTTTCAGGTCTCCATAGGATATTGAACTGTAACATTGATGTAAATATCTAGCTGTGGAAACATAATGCAATTGTGTAACAAGCAAAGATGACTGGAGTAGTCAGGGATGGAACTACATGTTAGATGCTCTGCACACGCACAAAAAAAAATGAAAGTAGCTTACAGCAAGAAGCAAGGTACAAACGTCTTCTGTAGCTGAAACGTGTTGCAAGAAATGATCTTGAATTAAGATTCTGTTACTGCTGAAAATGAAACCAAAGAAAACACTTGCAAATTAAAAGGTCTTCATTATTCTAAAAAGTAATCTGACTGTTACTGGTGTGTTTTTTTTTAAATACAGCTTTTTTTTTTATTCATCTTCTGACAACTCTTAATACCTTTATTGTTCTAATGATTTTAAGTCTTTGGGGTGCATTTTTTTTGTTAAGCTGGTGTGTGAACATGTGGAGTATGTAGAGTACATAAATAAGTGAATAAAAGATTTTAAAGAAATTATTATTACTTGCAGACCCTTTAACTAAATCCTTGTTGCAAGCATGTTAAACCATTTTAGTATAAGCAGTTATGAATATGTTTTTTATAATTGGATCCTGAAAGGACATTTAGACAAAGACTATGCAGTTTATCCAGCATGTCCTTCAGCTAACATCCCAGCCTTATCCCAACCTTCAATTAACCTTTGAATCTCACATTCACATCTACAAGCTGCTGTTCTACTGCTTTTGTCCACTCCAGAATAGTGCACAAATTCAGTATCATTTGTGAACGTCTCCTGTTCAAGGTGCTGCAAAGACATTAAGGAACTACACTAGGCACCTTCATATGTATTTAAAATCCCAGTATAAACAAGGTACAGCAAAGGGGACCTTGTGATATCGTAAGACAAATATCTGCCACAGAACACCTTAGGTGGAAGGAACAACCTTCCTGAGTTTGCAAAACTGAAATTTCTTTGTTTTTTATCTCAGCATTTCAGATTGTTGGGATAAAGTCCTTTTATTTTTTGTATGAAAAGATAGCCAAAAAAAAATAAATAAAGCTTTACATCGACCAATGATGACAATTAAAAAAAATGTGATGCACATCCAAACAACAAATAGTATCTACTGGAGTAAGTGAAACCTGGGAAGGTGGAGTTGGTTCTACGTATGTAACTTGCTGTACTTAAAGTGTGTTTGGAACAGTTTGGTCTCTGTAATACAATCTGGTTGTTGTCATGGCAAGAAGTTATCTGTTTCAGTGTATGAAAACAGGACACAGTCTTTTCCCCATTTATTGTAAATATTTTTCATTTTAGAACAGTTCCACCTGTGTTTTCCAGATGAGAACCCTGGATTTCTTTGCTTTTTTTTTTTTTAAATGCAACATTTATTCAGATTGGAGCCTTTTTATGTAAACTTTTACTTGCAGGAAATAGCCTCATATTTTTGTATTAACAGGTTATGCTTTAAAATATTGCAGAAATTACTTTTCAAACCAGTAGCCTGTAGGTGGGTGCTGTCTTTCAGGCTGTATTCAGAAAACATCCGACTGGTAATGTATGTGTAGGGCTTCTTTAGACTCAGTACAGCTCCAGTCATTTTCACTTTAGTAGAAAGATTAATGGTCTGTCTTGATTATCTAGACTTCTCTCTCACCAGTGTCTGAGATCATACTGAGCTGGTATTTCTAGCAGTAGCTTATTGAGTAACAATGGAAAAATGTGAGCTACTCACTCATTTCCTGTGTGAGACTTACTATTGCGCCTGACTTACATGAATATTCTCCTTTGTTGTCATTCTGAACACTTGTACTCAGATTATTTTTTTTTTATTGTTCATCACTTGAGTATACTGTAGTTAAACAAATGAAAGGAGGTGTGTACAGTACTACAATCCCTGCTACAAATGCATGAATAACCTTTCTAATCCTTTGTTCAGAAAACATAAGAGTAGCAGCAGAGACAGAATTATAAACTAATCTTGCAGACAAGGAGAAAGCTTCTGGATTTACCAAAAGAACTTATAAAAATAAAAAAATGAGATCCTAAAACAGAAAAACATCATATTCGATGTCCTGGATTTACTAGATGATTAAAAATTGTGCAGTGAAACATCTGTATACTCAATCAGAAAATAAATGTGAAATTACATGAAGCAGATCACATACAGGTAAATTAATAAGTACACTTTGAAAATGTAAAACTTGGTAGTGTTCAATAAATCAGGTAAAGGATGGTGAGATGGCCAGGCAAGGTTAATGAATAATGTCACTTTCATGACCCCCTTTTTATCTCCATAATCATTTAAAATAAAGTTTTTCTGTTGTAGCTGCTGGGGAGAAACGTTCCCTGGTGCTGTTCCTGGTCAGTACAAAGGAATTGCTGCTCAGGCGTTATTGCTTGTATGACTATTAGTAAGTTGAAAGACATCTTAGAGCAGTGTGTCATAATACTTTGATCTTAATCAAATGCATTCATAACTTAAAAAAAAAAAAAAAAACCTACAGCTTTGAAGAACAAAATATTGTAATACTTCCAAAATTATTTTAGAATTTCCTGTATAAATTGACACAGGAGCTGCTTTTAAATGTGGTTATCACCAGTTCATGATTCACAGTGAAGATGAATATTTATCTTCCTTTTGATGAAGAGGGATGCTGTCAGTCAGTAGTATTTTGCTCAGTAGTAAAAACAACGGAGATTTTCCCTTTGATGTTTTAAGTGAAAAGCTGTTTTAGACTGTGTTAGAAGAGAAGAACTATCAGAAAAGATACAGTGGTAAAGGGAAGAGTTAGGGAACACTTTGGAAATGGTAAACACAGAACTGTTAATTCTAACAAAGGCTCACCAGCATAAAGATCCTGAAGAAACTGTGATTTTTGTCTTCTTTTTTTAAAGTGTGGTGTTCCCTTTCAAGAGGAAGATGTGATTATCCTTAATGGTAATAAAGAAGATGTGGAAGTGTTGAAGAAAAGAATGGAGGATAGAAAGCTCAAAAGTAAATTAGAAAAGGTAATATTTTTATATATTGCTTAAAGTAAGTTATTCTCTATAATGCAAATTTTGATCAGACCACATAGCTTGGTCTCCTGGTCTTTATACCCACTGGAAGATGTAAAACTCGTGAGATTCTGTGTGCATATTCTGTTAATAGCAATTTGAAATTGTGTCTACTGAAACTCTTTTAAATAGCAGACACTGCGTGGTGCTCAGAAAATCATGGAATTAAGTGATACGTGTTTAGGGGAATCTTGAGAGTGTGAATCATCATTGCCTGATGCTTCCAGCAGCCAAGACTTTACAGAGATGTTAATCACTTGACCCTTATTTCTGCGCTTGATTTTGTCTGCATCTAAGATTAGATGGCATACAAAAGTTTTCCTAGATTCTGCTGAACTGAATGCTAGTTTAGTTACCAGCAAGTATGTAATTCCTTTTCATTGGAGTCACTCATATGTGCCAGTACAGCACCACAGGGCATGGGCCTGGGTTAGCCCAGGCATGGGCTAAAAGCATGGTTTTTAAAAGGACTTTAAAGACAGTTGAGGATAAAGTATTACAGATCCCAACAGATGAGCAATCGATCCCAAAAGCAGTCATTTGCACTCAATTTTCATTAGGAAGGTGTCTCTTTTTGTAAGTGAAGCACCTGTCGTAGCTTTGGTTCAAATAGACTGGAGGCTGATGCTATCCTTAACTTCTACACAAGAGAAGTACCACCAAGGTGTACTGAGCAGTTCTCTCTTACGGTGCCAGCACAGTTGCTCTTGGCAGCAGAAAAAAAATTATGCTTTGGTCTTGAGCACTGTGTAGGCATTTGCGTGTGCCAGTATTTCTGTTTTAGAAGAGACGTGCATCACAGGCTGGTGCAGTATTTGCAGATCTCTCAGCAGGCCTCTTGTGTTTTGTCCTCAGTTACTGATGAGTTTTACAACACTTCCTTGCCCTGTTGCCAGATGAATTTTTGCAGCTAGAATCACTCTTCTCTGCTGTCATTGGCTCCACTGGTTATAACCTGAGATCTGTGAGCTCTGGCTCTGGTGTCAGTGAACAGTTACTGGCTTGGAGCCTGTAGGCACTGCTGTTACTCAGTTCCTGCTATCTAGGGGAGCAGTCTGAGTGTACCAACTGTAGTTGGAACAAAAAACATAAAGTACTTTTCTTTATACCCATAAGATAAAGCATAAGGAAGATGCAGCTAGCACTAGTACTAAAAAAACAATAATAATTCAAGTTTAAGTGTGTCATATGTGCCCATGCTGAAATATGTATAATATATACTCGTGTATAGCATATATTGACAAACATCTCATAATTCAGATACCATATACTGGGAGGTAACTTTTTATTTTAAATCCATTCATAATAACAAAATTTGAAGCACCTTGAAAAGAATATTTTTGTGTACAGTGGAGGAGGGCAGGAGAGCCAAGTCTGCTTTTGGAATAGTTACGCTCTGCCACCACCTTCTGGCTAAGCTTCGCAGCAGCATGTGATACAGTATTTTTTTTTTCCCCAAGCATTAATTGTATTCTTGACAGCATGGGTTCTCCTAATTCTTACAACATATTGAAAGGAATTTATTTTTTGGGGGTTGTATAACTTCTTTGAAATATGTACCCCATTCTGAGTGTATATGGAGTCAGCTTTTTTGATAACGCTGCCAACAGCTGTTTTAATATATCTTTTTTTTTCAGTTTGACATTTTATATAATCAAAGCCAGTAATGAAATTCTTGCTGTTGCTGCTGTTTTTTTTTTTTTTTTTTTTTCTTGTGGTGTTTTTTTTAATCTTGACAATTATGAATTAACTTGGAAAATCTGGTCCACAGATGTTTTTTAAAAAAATGGATTAGCTCTTCACACCTTTGCTTCCCAAGCGATTTGCATCAAAGAGCCCACTTACTGAAAGTTACCCAGAAGGGATTTTTTTTATTAACTAAATAAAAAGAAGTAGATATAAGATGTGGGATTACTCTGAATTTTATATTGAAAAATGTCTGTACTGATTATGGTTAGCTGTGTCCTGTTTAAAGTCCTTTAGTTTATTATCCTGCCATGTGAGTTCAGTTTTGAATTACCTTAATGATTATACCTCCTTCCCCTGCAAAGTATACAAAACAAAATATCAGATCTAGATGGTTGAATTTTGGCCTCTGTGTCTTTCTTCAAGGTTCCTTTAAGATTTCCAATATTATTATTTTTCCCCTATAGAAATAGTATTGAAAATATGGTTTGAATTTTTTGAAAATATGAAAATATTGAAAAATTATGTTGGGAACAGTTCCACTGTTCTTGTTGTGTGTCTATCAAATGCAAATTAGGAATTGCATATTCTTCAGTAAATCATTAGATTTCTACTTGTGTTGTTTCAGAAATCAAAGAAATGTAAGTCAGCAGAAACAGCTTCTCAGCAAGATACCACCGAAGGTAATGTCACAGCTACTAATTATGTTTACTCTTAGGAGTTGTGAAATAGGTTGATGATTTCATTTATTTTTTTTTAATTCATAGAAGCTCCAGGTCCTTCAAAAGTCAAGAATAGAAAAGATTGTATCAGTTCCAGTTCTGGGGAAAAGAGGCAGATCATCTTCACCAAAAGTTCAGGTTGGTGATAATGCTTTGAACTAAATGTGAAAAAAGTGAATAGTTCTGCTTTGAAAAATATTGCAGGAGAGATCCTTCTTTGTATTTTTGTACCAGAGTTTTCAGAAGCTACCTGGTCACTTCTTTTCTGACCAGTAGGTTATTGCACTCAGTTTGCATGAAGAATTTCTTAAGCTAGAGCTTTTCCAAATGTGTGTGTTTAAGTGTAGTCTCTTGTACATGTGAGCCCAGGTGTGAGCGAACGGAAGGAATTTTCTTTGGGCTTTTTCTTTACTGATTTATAACTTCATTCTGAAACTGATTACACACTATCAGTTAAAAATTAGAGAAGATAAACAATTTTTAAAATAATTTAATTTGGTCCCTCTCATTAAAAAAAAAAAAAAATCCGTTATTTTAACCACATCACTAGTCCTAGTGTATTCGTTAGCTGCCCCATACTACTTTGAAAGGCAGAACAGGGAGAACTGAGAATACAAATTTCTTCATAGCCTATCTTAATTTATTGTTTTTCTTGGTAATAAAAGGTCAACTCCGGTCTTCAAATGAGCCATGATGTTGTTCTTTTTTCAAAGAACCTAGTGTTTTGAACATATATCCTAAAGGCTGTCTTTTCAAGCTGGAGTAGGAAGCTTCCTCTTGAAGTTTAACAAAGTTCCTTGTTCAACAGAAACTGTAGTCAACTTTTTCTTAAAATGGAGTTTTGCTGTACTATCTGCAAAATCTACAAAACTGGCAATTGCTGTGATAACTAACGAAAATAATAAACGCTGTTAACTATACTGCATTTCTGCATTTTTTGCCATGAAAACAAGGCAGATTTGCTTGTTTATGTCATTCCAGTGTTGCCGTGCTTTAAGTTGGTGGGAACCAACTTAAACAAATATGATGAGAGATTCTTATTCACACAGTTATATAGTCCAGGGTTTGGTGTATCGTTTTTTTTTGGGTTTTTTTTGGAAGAGATAGTGTGAGGAGAATTAGTAGTTATCCTGAAGTTCAAGCACTCAAAAAGTCTTCTATGGTGGTTTATTTCAGTGAAGTTTATTAAAAAAGTCCTAAGCTGATGACTTTTAGTCCCCCGTTTTAGCTATTAATTTGCTATGCTTCGCTGGGAGCATTGAAATATAACTTCAGGATGTACTGGTGTATCTACAGTAGTTATGAAGGTATGAATAAAATTGCCTGTCCTTTGGTGACTCTCTTCAGGTAATATATATTATGCTATTTAATGTCTCCAATTCATACTGATGTGTTAATGCAGAAATATAAGAATGGGTGTGTGTTTAAAGGCTGTCTGAGGTTTTAAGGTGAAGTATTAAACTGTGTATATTACAGCCACAGGAAAAGTCAGAATCATTTGTTTGAAGAATCTAAATTTATCTACACTTCATTGTTTAATTATTCTATGTGATAAGCTGAGAGAATTTCCATTAGAAACGTCTAACCTGCCACTTTCTGTTTTTATAAGGGCTAAGCTTTTAGACGTGTTACATTTGTGATTATTATAATTGCTTTAAGTTGTTGAGGAACTTAGTAATTCTAATAACATGATATATTTTTCTCTTCCAATAACATAAAGGAGAAAAATATGCCTTTTGAAATGTCAGGTCATTGGTTTGTTTCTGACAGCAGTTACATTGACCAGTAGGGGAATAAGAGGAGAGAGGGAAAATGAAGAAAAAACATGGGGTGAGGAATGCCAGTAGCATAGGAATTAATTTGTGAACATGGCACCCTAAGGTTTCTGGACTTCCAGCATATGTATTCAGTCTTTCAAATCCAGTGTTTAGTAATTCTTTCCAGACAACTATTAGTGGCATTAAAAGCAGCATTCTCCAAATACAAAAAGGGTCTGATATATGATGCTTAAGATTGCACATAAAATTCCTATGACTACATGCAGAAATTGGATAAGTGCATTTTCAGACAGGCTCCATGCTAATTATTTACATGCAGTTGTGCCTAAATTATACTAAATATGTAGAGTTTCTGCAGACCTTTCTGTGTTCATTTCTTTGCATGAGAGATTTGACACATGCTTTTTAAAACACTGTCCTCCTACTTCAGGGAAGGCTGAGTAGTCATTAAGAAAGAGTTCTTTTTTTGTAACACTAGATATAACACTGAGAGAAATGGTGTGAGAAGTGGAGGGATGGACACTTTCCTATCCCAGATATAAAAAAAAAAAAAAAAAAAAAAAACATAGGTGAAGTTGTTGGTCATGAATGACTTTGCACAGAATAAAGAGAGTAGATTCCCTGGGGATAGTATGTCACAAGTTTGGCTTCTGTCATTTGATAGCTAATTTTCAAACAGTACTTCAGGGTGATGGAATACTTTAATGTTTCTTAAGAGTAGAGTTCAGAGCCATTTTTCATCTGGAGGAATAAATGTTGTCAGTACTGAATTACAGTGCAAGGGTTTGCACAAGTAGGAAGGAATTACTCTCTTCAAGGTTTGTAAATGCATTTTGAGCATAAATTTTGTAAGCTAAGGACATGCTTGCTATTGAGTTCAATTATAGGATATTTTTGTGATAGCTATGAAAAAATGTATGTACTCCATGTCTGTACACATAACTAAAAAAAAAAACAGCCTTAATAACTGCTCACAATTGGAAAAATGTATGTTTGACTCTATTCCTTTTTCTCTAGGAGATAATGGAAGTTCATCTGCCCCAGGAAAAGTCAATAAGGCGGCTTCTACTACCACGAAGAGATCCATCGCAGACAGCGAGGAGAAATCTGAGGCATACAAATCTATTTTTACATCACACAGCTCAGCAAAACGTTCAAAGGAAGAGTGTTCCAATTGGGTTACTCACACAGCATACTGTTTCTGAAACAATGATGAGCCTGATCCTAATGTTCATTACTGCTTTCCTTCCCTAAGGCTTTTTCTGTACAACTCTAATACAGAACAGTTGTTGTAATCTGATGTTATCTGGAATTACTCAGTTCGCAAGTAGTTTATAAACTTATGAATAGCTAATGAACTTGTGTTAGTTGCAACTTTTGTTAAATAAGAAATAGATTACCAGAGTCCATGTTGTATCAGCAGACCTCATTCTAAAATGATGGATTATTTACACAACTGGTTTTTTGTTCCCTCAGCTGGATGCTGTCGTTCCCGGTCACAGTGTCTCAGTACTAGAAATAAGGATAAGAGGATATGCCTGCTGTCCTCGTCTGTTGAAATCTGCTGCAAATGTGTTTGAATTTTTCATTGTATTGGTACAGAAATTCAGCCTTTTGAGACTTTCTGACAGTAAAAGAAGCAATAATGCTTTCCTTTTGAAGTATCAATCTTTACTCTCAGTGGAACTGTTATGTTTCTTAAGGGGCCTGTAGGCACTTTCAAGTACTATACATTTTGTTGGTGTATATGGAAGCATTATGTTTGTACAAATGTTTGTACAAACAGCAAAGTAGCTGTGCAATATTCTTATTGTACGTGTTGTAATCTGCTTTTAATAACATACATTCATAGTTAATCATTAGATATAAAGGTGAGTCTGTAATAATGAGTTTTTGGTTTTCCAAAAAGGCTTGGGAGGTTTCTTAGTGGTGGTGTTTGTAAAGCTAGAAGTATCAGTATATCTGCGCTCTGATTCTTCTGTTAGAGGATCAGAATAGAGTGGAACAAAAGTGTGAGTTTTCTTACTCATCTGCTGAAACAGTAAAGTTCTGTGTCATCTGTGAGGAGGAATTTGCCTTTCTGGGCTGAATTAAATTCAGCAGCTTGCTTGAAAATATGAATATTTATACAGGGAGAGAGAAAAGCATGCCTAGTAAAAGAATAGAAATGGACAGATCTTAGCTGGATTTTTAGGGAGAAAATAAATATGGTATGTGCCATGCAAATCAGAAACCCGTTGGTAGCCAATGGAGGGAACCCTTCAAGGCTGAAGTTGCTCTCTGAGAACGTTTCTCTTTTACTTCATGGGCAACAGAAATGTGTGACTTTGAGAACATCTGTAGTACACATTATTTTCTGACAAAATTCTCCACCACAAATGACTATTTGACTGTTAACTGCTGGTTACAGGAAAATACAGCATTATAGTACTTCACTGAGTTTTGCTTTTGTATCTGTGCTTTTTATTCCTGTGACTTTGATATAAATAAAACTTGCTCTTGTCGTATGACCATAACGCATCATGTTCAGTTGAACAGACACACAAAAATTTATTTTGTTAATGTTAGAACATAACTTCTTAATGGTAGCCATTGTGTAATGCCATAGGCTTTCATTTAGCCCTTTTATTCTTAGCTTTTCTCCAAACACAGGAATCCTACTAAAATGTTCATGTTCCATAGCAATCAGTTAGTGGTTGAATATTTGAATCCAGTACCATCGAGGTGAAATGACCAGGGAGAGGGACAGATGCTTTTCACCTGTATTCCTCTTCAAAGAAATGAAAGCTGCTTTTATTATCTCGGCTCAAACTAACAGAATAGAAATGCAGAAAGTAGGAGGCTTTTAAAGCCACTGCATGATATTACATTGTTACGTTTGTATGTGAAAATAGTTAATTATCCTCATAATTTATTTTTTAAACTGTCCCCATTTATAATTGGCAATAATTAATCAGGAATTAAAACGCTGTGTTTATATTTGCATAGGTGGTCTTCGTGATACAAGTGCATTGAAAGAAACTGGTTCGACTTTATTATTTTGATAGGTGTAAGAAGCCAATGTTTATTGGCTTGTTGTAGAATTTATACGGCAGTGAGCATTTTTGTTTTCCAAAGATGTGAATGCATATATCCATCACATCAAACAGTTTGAGGTTCACTTGAGCTTCCAGGAAGCAAACAGACACACTTTATATGCATGTCTAATAATCGGCTTTGTTCTCCCTCTTTTGTATTCTTTTCCTGTTCATTATTATCCTTCATTATTTGTTAGTTAACGATAATGAAGTTAATGCACTAAAATATATACCATAGCTGTCCCTTTACTTGCAGTCTAATTCAGTTTTGACAGTACAAGTTAGTCTTATTAGTATTTTATAGGAGTCTATTCTTCTTTCATTTAAATCAGTTATAAATCTTGAGGTAAATTAACGGAGTTACCTTAATGCTTTTGATTTAGCTGTTACTCAGCTAAAGAATAGGAGCAAAATATAATGTGCAGTATTGCTTCCTCCCTTTTCTTCATAGTATATTAGGGCAAGCCCTGCCTGCTGACTTGGTAACAAACCTTTCCTGCTCTTTGGGGCATAACAGACACATTTTTTTCCGTCTGACCTGCTCATCTATTAAAATAAGTTTACAACTACCATGATTTGGTTAGTATACCGATTCTTTGTATACACTTAGCACAAACTATCAATTCCAGAAAATAAACCTATGCCCCTTCATTAGGAAGGGTTTTGTGTGGTAGGTTACCATCCTGGCTTTGTGGACGGAGTTCTCAAAATGTTTATGGTTTATAGAAGTGTTGTCAGTGACAGATGAGGTCTTTTCCTTCCCTTTACAAAAAGCAGCTGTGAAGGAATGTGATATATTGTTGGCATGTGATGCAATTCATCGCCACAATTGACTTTTGTTAATGTAAAATAGAGGAGGAAAAAACTGACACTTCTGTTGTTGGCAGGCTGGGTTAGGCAGTTGAGACTGGAACGTTGACTTGGCAAGTTTTAATAGATCCAAGCGAATAGTTTGCTGGAGGATGTTTGCTTTATTGTGGTTTTCTTTTTGTGGGGGAGGGCAATTTAATTTTCTTTTAATGTAGGTGAATTTGAATGTTGGTGAAAGTTGAAGACAGCAGAAGTCCAAAACCTTCTATATTTTTTGAGATGCCACATAAGTCTGCCACAGCATTGCATCCATGTGCCTCTGTTCTGAGGAGTTCACAGAACTGTTAGTTCTGCTTCCATGAAGTTCCAGTCTTGGTCTTTCTTCTGAAGAGCCTAAAAAGGATTCAATTAGTGTCAGTAGTATAATGGGGAGATTTCTGTGTCAGTGTTGTGGAACCTGCCCACTGAGAATTGGACTGAAATTCAACAATTTCCTTCACGTAGCCTAACAGTCACGCTGGTAATGAAACCTGGCCTGATACACACCGGTGGAAAGGGGCTGTAAAGTTCTGTATCCTGTTCTACAGTCTGTCAGCTATCTGTCTGTCTTTCTGCACGCGGACATAGAATTCAGTACATTCAGTATTTGAACCTCTAAAACTGAATGTATGGACACCCTCAGGTTTTGAGACTCCGTAGAGGTCAGCCTGGTATCACTTGTCCATACTGTACCTTTATTCCCTAGTCACCCCAAATCAGACGTGGTATTTCATGCTGTCTTACAGGAGATCCTGTGAACCTTTTCCCCTTGTCCCCGGTGACCCTTAACAGCACCAGGTGCTGTGAGGCAGCCTGCAGCCTCCAATGCTGGGGGCACAGCTACGATGCACTCCTGCAGCTCGTAAACCAATTTGTGGCCCACGTGCACTTGGAGAGGGGCAGGCACTGTGCTTTTTGCCTTTGTAGAGGACAACGAGCTTTGTGTATGGAGGCATCTCAGAGCTAAAAGAGGTGAGTTTGAGCTGTGTTTGTCTCTCGTGGCTCCTGCACTTTGTAGTAGAAGGTGATTTCTGTCCTTTGTTCCCAAACCTCCAGTACCTGCATTCCTTACACATCTCCTGACCTGACCACAGCTCCTTCCCTTCCGTGTTTGCTGGAAGTTGGGCTGGAGGTATGTGCTGATCCACCCGCCGGCAGGTAGCTGCTCAGCTCTGCAGCCTGTCCCCCTCTAAGGGCACTGCCCTTGGAGGCCTCACCTCTCCAGCCCGTCTTTTCTGTGAGACCTTGGTAGAAAACAGTGCATCTTCAAGGCTTTTATATCTCTATGAGCCTTAGTTGAAATCAGGCAATGATTTTTTACACTGCTGAAAGAAGGGAGGGTGTAACTGCTTTAAATCTCTAGAAAATTAAATTAAAATCCTTCAGAGAAGAAGCATGCACACACGCATGACCGACACCATCAGGAAGGCAGAGTGGAAGAGGAGGAATGAGTAATACCTGTGCTGCAAAGATTAGAATTTAGTGACTTGCTGATATAAAAAAAAATAATAATAAAAAAAAGTGAATAATAAAGGGACACAGTTCATTCTGTAAAGGTATTTAAAATTGTATTTCTCTCAACCCCTTTTTTTAGAAGTAATTGTAGAATTATTCTCCGTCTAATGGGAATAAGCTTGAGAGGTGTCTAGTGGGAAAATGCATGCTATTCGCTAAGACGGGATTTTACTGGAACCTCAGAGCTTCTTTGAGTCAGTCTCCAACTTCCATGCCATGAGATCATCACATGCCTATCAAATTGACCAAAAAAAGCTTTAAGTATTCTTCTCTTTTAAGCATGATGTTTGTTAGATTAAAATATTTCTTATTAATGTCCTATTATTAGCCAAACTGAACGAACACAACTGCCTTTAAGTGTCCCGTCTTGCTTGCTTTGCAGCCTAGACGCCAGTTGCAGTTGGTATACTTTGTTCAAGATTCAGAACTGCAGTGACCCTGCCAAATAGTTTCTTAGTTGCATTTAAAAATAAAAGGGCTGTTTATACATTACAATCCACAGAGGGTCTGAAATCAGTATGTCCTAAGATGAATACAAATCATAGACAAAAAGTGTTTTGTTGGAAGGCTTCACAAATATGGAACTGATTACTGCTAGACAGCGCAGATTTCCTTCTGTAAGATGGAACTGATATAATTCCTTCCTGACAGCTAGAAATTATAATTGGGTTGGTTTTTTTGTGTTTTAAACTTCACCAACCTTCAAAATGAGCAAGAAGGATGGAATCCTGATCCATCTGCAGTTGATGGGAATTCTGCCTGTAAGCCAGGATTTTCATCTAAATATCCATCCAACTGCCCGGTTACTGTGGAGGTACTGCTAACAATTTCATAGCTGTGGTTTTGTCAAGCATTTAGCTTCATGTGGATTAAAATATCTCTTACAGGTCAGTGACAGAATTCAATTTGCAAATTGACCACAGGTCTTTTTGGGGAGAAGAACCGATTTCACTATGACATTAAGTAAAATGAAATTCCCTTTTAAAAATGTTACCCTAGCAGCTCTTTATACCGCATCCAGCCTTTTTGTAGTATTTTGTCAGCATCACATCTCTAAGATTTTTTCTCAAAAGTCAAGGGCACGAGTTAGTGAAAAACAACCCCTTTCCCTTGCAGAAGCATTCATCTGTCAGACTGCACCACTGCTTTTGCATCCAGTGTTCTCTCCTTCCCTCTCGTTTGCCTCCTTTGTTTCTGCTGCTTACAGAAATCAGACCAGTGCTCTGCTTAATGGTTATCAGCAGAGTGGGGAGTACGGAATGATCAGGGTGATGGGGCTCTGGCTTTGGGTTCCTGATTGCTCGTTTGGGCTGGTTTGCATTTGTTAGGCAGGCAGGCTGCCTCATCAGGCTGAATTTTCTCCATCTTCCAGGCGAAGTCCTAAATCTGATGGCATCTTGAGTCACGGTAGACTCAGGAGCCGTGTCTCGTTGCTGTATAGATTACTTATTTTGCTACTTATGGGGCAGTTTTTAAAGAGCAGGGTTGTTTCCACAGTAGAGAACACCAAGGTGTTCAATCTGTCCATGCTGCTTTCCTTGTTACTGCTAAGGACACGTCTCCCTCCTCCTTCTCTGATGCTGGATGGATGTCCAGTCTTTCACTCCCTCCTCTGCCATGTATTTCCCCGCTGTATGAGGTTGTCTGAAGACTTAATTGTTATGTTCAGGGACACCAGATGTCTGTATTAGCAAACAGTGTAATTTGTAAACAGAAGACATGAGGAATGCTTTTCCGTGGGCTGACTTGACTCTGGAAAGAAATATGTTGTTAGGTGTTAGATGAAAACAGAAACAATTTGACAGTGTAAGTTTTCCTAGCAGTTATAAATGTCATATTTTTATTCCATGAGTTTCCCTTTTTTTAATTAAAAGTAATTCAGTGGAACCACACAGCATCCACTTTGCAGCGATAAGTGGTTTTTGCCATGTTAGCTTTGAAAGGGCTGCATTGAACGGGATGGGTGTAGCTTTCTTCAACTTGCCTACAAAGCTAAAGAAATGCAAAGCAGCTTATTGCTCAATTATGCTGACTTTAGCAAACTCGGTAGGACAAATTAAAAAAAGAAAAAGGGA